CCAGGTGGCCCAGTCAACTGGGTTGCCCAGTTGACTGGGGAAGGGCGCCCAGACTGCCCAGTTAACTGGCCGTCTGGGCGTCGGGGGCGGCTGGGCGCGCCCAGACGGCGCGCCTAGTCGCCATTTCCGACCGTTTGCCACAATCCGGTAGAGGAGATCGTCGGAAAACTCCATTTTCGGCGATCTCCACTCCTTCCCAAGTAATAACAACCCAAAATTCCACATTTACACAAGGATTTCTCAAGAAATATGTATAAAATCATACTTTTTTCCAAAAATAAAAATATAAACATGGTTTTTTATGTATAAATTTCTTACCTTCTTCAGAGGGATTTTGGCCAAGTGGGTCTCCTGTTTTTCCTTATTTGTCGGTGACTGGGTCGACTGTGCTACAGTATTTTCCCGTCTCCTTCGGCTCTGCTTCGTTTTCAAGTGAGGGTAAAATTGGGATTTTCTTCATTTTTTTTGGTTTTCACTGTTTTTTATAATTTTGCCTTTTTTTTTTCATTGGTAAAAGGCCAGTTTGAAAAATTGGCCGGGTCAACCGGCCAACAGCCACTAATTCCTCCATTGTTATGTGAGTTTTCAAATTCACATAATCCAAAACACTCACTTCTTATAAAATACATGAAGGTAATTTCTAAAGAACTTTCAGTGGTTGCTGAAGAATGAACAAGATTGGACCAAAAGCACAAGAAGAATACAAGAACAATGCATTCTTGGTGATCTGCAGGAAATATACATTTCCAAAAGATTGGGAATAGGTGTGAGTGAAACACGTTCCGGCGAATCTTGGAGATTGTAGGAATTAGATCAGTGAATACAGTAGGTTTTCTAGGCTAGATTATACTGTAATTTCATACTATAAATAAGGGAGGTTACTGGCTTCGTCTTGGAGTTTATATCCTATTAGATTTTCTCTGTCAACATAATTTGTGTTTTTATTGCTTTTATATTATTGATTGTGGCATTCTAACCATAGGATAAATTAACTTGATTGACTAAACATTTAGAACAATTAAAAAGTTTGCTTTTACTTGGTTATTTTAATTCAGCAGTATTCACTTATTCATTCCCCTTTAGGTGATTTTAGGGTCGAACTAGTGACTTTCAACAATGAAGAGCAAAAATGGAAATGGGGGCGCTGGAATCATTTTATTTTTTTGGTTGGGGGCTGGGACATTTTGATTAAGGCTATCTTGAAAGCAATCCCTACATGTATGAATTGTTTGTCATGTTGTCGAGAGATTAGGTTGCTGATTTTGCAGTTTTGGTGGGGATCAACCGAGGGAAGGATAAAGATGTCTTGGGAAGTTCTAAGGGAGAGGATGAGATGTTTCCTTCAAATAACTTGGTTTCTTTGAATGTGGTGAAGAAAAATCGACTATTCATTGCAATATCCCCATATATAAACAAAGTAATTTGGCCAAAATAAGAAAAATATGCTTATGTTTTCTTAGATTGACAATGTACAATTAAAGTAATAATATAAGAATATGAAATAGGAAAATGAGAGCTTTGCTATGTCCGAAGGGTGAATATACAATTTATTTTTTCTCCTTTTATTGCACTAGTAAATAAATGCTAATATGCATATTCTAGGAAGGCCTAACATTGAGCTTATTTCTTCTTCAACTAATAACTATAAACAATCTACTTCCACCTTCTACCATCTTTTATTCTATAAACATGATAAACAAATCCGATAAACCATTTAGGTTTTTCATATTTAAAAATTAAATATACCAATCCAAATAACATTCCACATCCATACCCTATGAGGACAACTTGCCATGTTAATCCATCTAAGACACTGAAATCATCTTCTATCTGTGTTGTCGACCCTAGAAGCTTCGGTCGTGTTTTGTCATTTCTACACATTGTTATCAATGGCAATCCACATAATTTGAAGTTGTCAATATATGAATAGTTAGGAAATGTAAGAAGCTGCCCTTGCTTAGGCATTGGACCAACAAGATGATTGTAAGAAATGTTAAAGGATGACAGAGTTGTCAACTTTGTCAATTACCAAGGAATATCTCCTGTCAGTTGATTTGAACTAAGGTCCAAAGATTCAAGTGAAATAAAATTTTCTAATGATGGGAGATTACTTGTGAAACTATCATTAGCCAAGTTTAGAGCGTGTAGGGCCTTGAGCTTTCCTATAGAACTTGGAATATCTCCTTGAAATTTGTTGTTTGATAGATCGTAGCTTGTACAAGGTCTTCGGATGCTCCACAGCTCATACTCGTACCCCTTTAGCAAAATAGTCGATAGATAACTAGAGTATAAGTATTTGTCGCCAATTTCATTTTCACTCGCATTAATCATGGCTTTGAAATTCTCTAAAAATTCAAGTGGGAATTGGGTCAAATAGCCACTTTTATAATACACTTTGCAAATATAGCCTTTGATCAGAATTAAAGTTTTAAAATAAATATTTTAAATAAAAATTAATCAGTTACCTTAATTACCCTTATTCCATCATAGTAAACCCCCCATTTCCCTTCTTCTTTACGTGCTGCCCAAATTAAAAGAAAATGCTCGTAACCCTAAATCTTCTCCTCTCTTGAAGAAGGCGACAATCCCAAATTGAATGAAACACTTGTAACCCTAAATTCTTTTCCTCTCTTGAAGGGGAAAGGCGAAAATCTCTCTGAAGAACTTCCTCTCAAACGACACTACGCGAGATTTATGTAATCAATCTCGTCGATTTTCTTCCTTCATCCATTGTGAAGTTCCAATAAGTTGCTAACTGCTACAGCTACTGCCACCCCATGAATCACTTCCTCCATTGTCACGAATTATTGAAAAGGTATTTCCCCATTTCACTTCCAGGAACTAATAGCCTAGTGGGCTATCCTCAAATATGAAATTTTTAGATATTTAGAGTTATTGGCTGACCAATAATTGTATTGAAAAACCTTGATATACAAATTTTTAGTTCATGTGTGCTTGGCCGAAATTTTGGTACATTGCTGTTTTCAACACAGTTTTTTTCCTGTACCAAAGTAGAAATAAAATGTCATTTTCCTATGAACTGTAGAAATCTGCTAGCATGTAGTGTGTCTTGTGTGGATAATGATCAATTTACCGACAACAGTTATAAAATATATTTTATTTTTCGACCATAATGGACAAGTCGTAACCGATAAGAACTTCGTGGGGAAATAGGACTTGATTTATTGTGGCTTTACTCACTACCTTGATATGTGCCCGAATGAGTGATTAACTTGCCTATAGAAGGTCTCCAATATAAACACGAGCACCAGACTTCGGAGAAACATTAATCCACTGGTTTTTAAGAAAAATATGAAGGCCTCCAAAAAGCATAAATAATTCTATTGTAAAATAACATCGACATCCATAGATATAGGTCAATGAGATTACGTGCTCCAATAGATTTTCTAACTAATCAATTTTTGGGGGTGCAACATGAATTTGGAACTCGGCTAGGAGTTTTATTAAATATGGACAAAAATTCTTAGAGCCATAATTACCGAAAATGGGTGATGCGGCATCGCGACGTTGAAGAAAAGGAGGTGAAAGATGAATATAATGACATTAAAGAATTGGAATTGTAATGCTTTTAAAAGCCTGCGGTACAACAATTGAGTGAAATAGCACTACGAATTTTCAAAAATAGAAAATATGATTTATCTAAGTTATTCTTATTTATTTTAATACTAATATTTTGTGAAAGTTACTTTTCTAAAGCTTTCAA